TGCAACAAAACAACTGTGACGTTGAACTATGGAACTGTAAAAATGCAATATTTATAAATTTATATATTATACCAAATATATTTGTTATAGAACATTATACAGTTGCAATTTTGCAAGAACAAAAAATTTTTTTATTAACTTCTAAAAAACAATTTATAAATTTAAAGATGTAGTAAATCTATTACCACCCAGTAAAAAAAAAAGAGATAATTGTCTTACATAAATATAACTATTTGTGTCAAAAAAAAAATAATGAAAAATTGTTTTCATTTATCTAACTATATATTTTTAGCTACTGATAACAAAAAATAATTTACTTGGTTCTAAATAAAGTTGAATGTTTGAGATGTTTTAGTTTTAAATTTGGTTATAAGTTTATCTCATAACTAGATAGAGTAGAGCTATAACATGTGTATTGTGAAGTTTGTCATCAGTTGGTTACTAACAGTATTAAAAAATATTTTTTTAGCAGAGTTCACCATTTTTAGATATTATCAGCTTGCATAAAAAAAAAATGTAATTTAAAAATACATATTGGATTTTTAACCTAGATTAAGCATACTAAATAAAGGTTTGTATTATAAAACTTTAAAAATATAAATTTAAATTCCTGCAAAGCTTTCTTCTACCCACCCTTATACCTCATAAAAAGTTTTGAATCTTAAAACATACCCATCTCAATATCTGGTTCTGCTAGAATATGTAGCCCAAATAAGTCAGATATCAGCACAGATACCAACTCTCTTTGTGCACCCTGAAAAAAAAAAATACAAAAATAAAAGATACAAAAAACCATCAAAATTTGGTGCCCTTTATATAAGTTTTTGCAAATGTTTATTTTAATCATCTTAAATTCAAATCATTAATTTATAAGTTAATAATATATTTATAATTACATTATTATTATTTACATTAATTTATAAGTTAATAATATATTTATAATTACATTATTATTATTTACATTAATTTATAAGTTCATAAATTTTATTTTTATTTGACTTTAAAAAATGTTCAGTAACTATTATAAGAGAGAATAAAATAGACGTTTACCAAATTTTTAAATATTCCTAAAATTATAGGAAAAAAAAGGTAACAAAGCTTTAAAGTTTTGTTTAGAAAAAGTATTTTTAAAAATTACTTATTATTAGATTTTAACAAACATTATTGGCAAACGCAACACTACTTTGATAGCTATTGTTCTTACTTTTTTCTCTAATGCCAAGCTTACTGCCAATTGCACAATCTATCAAAAAAAAAAAAAAAAATTTGAAAATAAAAAAAGATTTTTTAATTCTTTAAATTAGACAAAATTAAAAAAAAAAAATACTCTGTGCTTTAAATGTGTAATATTTAATTCCTCCAATGATGCCTAAACAAAATGACTGAATATTAGACAATAAAATATAATAATTACATAAAAAGACAAATATTAAAAAGATTACAGATTAACGTTATTTACAGGTAATTGGTATAACACTAAAACTACAATTTAAAAACATTACAATAAAAATGTCATTAATTACAATTTTGCTACAAATAATTATATTCTTTTTAATTTGCAATTATATATATATATTTAATACATTTGTTTTAGTGATAATGCAAAACTAAACTAATAATACTTTTATATTTATTTTGTATTACTTTAGTGTAGTCTAACATAGAAAAATAAAGTTTAAACTAGTTTGAACTTTTTTTCAGAAATAGTTCTAACCTGTTCAGGTTTAAACTTTATAATAAAAAATAGTGGATAAAACTTATTATTGGGTATGAAAGAAATCAAATCTAGAATATAACAATTCAATACAATAAAAAGATATAAATTAATTATCAAAAAATTTAACTAAAAATGGCTGAGTAAAAAATTGGCTAGCTAAGATTGAAGCTCAGAATTCAGAACTATTTAAAAAAAATCTCTGGATGTTCTTAACAATGTCTGGGTGTGCCCATCATCATTGTCATCATCATTACCCTTGTCGGCTTTATTGTAAAATATATACAAATATATAAAATACTTTTATACAGTCTGCTTATATATCAGTGATATTATATATGTTATTGTTGTCATACAGTAACGTCTTACAACAGTTTTGCCTTTGTCTTATTACCTTAATTTTATTATAGTAAAACAAGTTAGTAATTACTTACAGCAACTTCTCCAGTGATACCATGATCAAAATATTCCTATAGAAATAAATTAAATAAAAATAAATTTTTTGTTTTTATTTTATAAAAACAATTTGTTAAAAATAAAATCTTTTTTTAAAATACAAAATGTGTTTTTTGTTATTTTAAATATAAACTTTTATAGAAATTTTTAAACAGTTCTAGTGATTAATCATGTTAGGGGAATGAAGTGCTGATTTAGTGCTACAACTACAAGGTGCTGATTTTAGGAATATGAAGTAGAGTATTGACTAGTTTAGATATGAGAGTGTTGACAAGTTTAGGTACAGGAAGTAAAATGTTGCATAACGCAGTGACTTCTTTAAATTGATTGATAAAAAGTTTGTTTGTTTTTTGAAGCGCTTAAATAAGTGCTCAAAACAGATGTAAAACATCTGTTTAAAACCCAAAAGAAAAAGCCTAAAATGAGCATAAAATGATTTTTTAACCAAACTTTAAACAACTATAGCCCAATAAATGGTTATATTAATTGCCTTTTTTTTAAACGAATGCACTTATTTTTTGAACTAAATTTTTAAACTCTCTGATAGTAGTTAGAAACTTTTATTTCTCACACTCAATATTGTAAAATAAAATACTTATTGTAAATTAGTTATAAATGTTTTATTTGAAGCATGAAAATAATTTTACTTCCTTAAAATTAACATATTATTTCTATTTTTTATCATTAAATTAAAAATAAAAGGATAGGATATTCCAAAAACAAATTCTGGAGTTTAAATTCAAACATTCATTATTTTACCTTGACTTTAAGAGATCCAAACTTGTTTAAAACTTTAAAACTCAATAATCAAGATATTAAGAGCCTTAAAACCTCATATTTTTATTAGTCCTAAAACAATATCAATTGGAGTATATTTTTGAATTCAAGGGACAAAAAGTAAGAAAATTACTCTCTCAAACAACTAATAAATCATTCAAAACTGATTAGCATTTAATCAGTAAAAAAAGTCATAACATAAAAAATAGTAAAGTGGAATGTATTTATTAAGTTGATTAAATATTTAGAAATAAATAAAAAACTAACCATTATAATTGGAGTGACAATTTTATCAAATTCTGCAGACGACAAATCTGGAGTTACTTCGTAAAGGATAACATCATCACTCTGTAACACAAGGAAAAAACTAAAAGTATTCACTTTAGCAAATAAAGCTTAACAGCTTTTTCTTCAAAACTTATGAAAAAAAGTTTTCCAAACTTAACAAATGGTGGGGCTGCAGAGGCTTCATCCCTCTACAAAGAGTATAATTCAAATGTATTATGTAAATAAAATGTATTTTAAAAATAGACACAAATATATATAAACATAATATTTTAAGCAGATTTTGTGAATTTTTAAAATTTTTTAAGTGAAAAATTTAAAAATAAAAGACTTACTTCCACTATGTCAGAGTCATAATTTGGATCATCTGGATTCGTTTCTTCTTCTTCATAAACCTCTCCATTTTTACCCCATGTTCCTTTTCCACCTGCACCTGCTGAAAACGTTTGACAGAATAAAAATACATAGTTCTTGTTATTACATATTAACTAAATCTATAAATTGAATATATTTTTATTAACTTTTTTTTTTTTTTTTTGAGGGAAGCACTCTAAATGGCAGGAAAAAAAAGTAATAGCATGGTTTTTAGCAACAGTAAATTAAATAATTTCTTCCTGTTTATGTAGAAAACACTATAAGAGTGCTCTTCAACAATCTTCTTTTTTTACATCAAGCAAATCAATTACATTAAAGATATATTTAAAAATTTATAAAAAATATTCAGGGATTTTAGTTACACAGTTACACAACATATTATTTGCAAGATTAGAAACTCTTATTTATAATTCTTTGAAGATAATTTGATTTATTTAAAAACTCCTTATTGCAAGAAAAATAAAAAATAAATCATATTATCTAATAGTATATATAAACATACATTTCTTGGGTTTTCCTTGACCCTTTATATTCTTAGGCTTACGATCATGTGCTTTATCCTTTGCTGGTTTAACTACATTTCCAACAACATTTCTTTCTTTTTCATATGCCGAAAGACTAATACTCTCGCTCTTGCTCCTTACTCGTGTTTTAGGAATTTTCTTTAAAAGAGCTCCATTTGTTAACATGTTTCGTTCTGATATCGACGACGGTTGTAACATGTTTTCTGAAGCTGTAGGAACTAGCCTTATTTCTGTATCATCAACATCCATTATCGAAGGAGATAATATAGCAAAATAGGAAGATGTATTTTACAAACTACACGCAGTAATACATAAGCAATTAAAAGCTTCTAGAGGATTATTATAAATAATGTTTTTGCAAGTTTCTTAAATAAGTTCTTCGAGAATCACATTTATATCATTCAGTCTCCAAAAATTTAATTTTTCATGAAGAAAAATAAAATATTTATATGATCATGCAGAAAATTTAATATTACTTAAAACTCAATTGAGGTTTTGCAAATATAACATAAAATCAAACACTCAACAACACCATTCAAGTCAGATCTCAAAACGTGTCTTGTTTACGACATGCGTTATAAAAGAAATCACGTGTAATGCCCGTATTTGGTTTTCGTTTCAAAGCACCTCCTCTTAGTCTGTAGTAAGATTCTCTGAAAATGAGTTAAAACTTTTTACAAGGTTTTGATTTTTTACTTTAATTTTTAATTTTATAAAAATATGTTTATCTAAACTGACTGTTCCAATTTTATTTTTCAGTTAACAAATAGAAAACGCAGTTGGCAGTTTTTAAGGATTTACCCCTTCCCCCTTTTTAATTTCTAGAATCACCCCTGTTTATTATCTCGCAATAAGCTTACAGGGAAAATAAAATGTTAGTATTGTTTTAGTTGCAATAACAACAAGTTATTACTACTCATTTTTGCAATTCTTTTAGCAACTCATTGCATTTGCAACATATTATTCTACCCAGTAGGTTAGCGAGACGGGGGCCAATAGGGTCCGAAGGGGATTAAACTTACTTTTTATATATATATATATATATATATATATACAAATAGCTTTTTTCCTTAAAAATTTTTTTATTATTAAAAGGCGTCTTTTTGCAAAAAGTAAGTCCATTATTTAATCTAATCCAAATTATAAAATTTATATTAGGATTTTTTTTCAACTGAAAATTGAAAACTTTTGAAATAGCAAAAAGTCTATTATTAAAGAGTTTTTTAAAAAATTTACAAATATAAATAGCTTTTTGATCGGAACAGTATTGTTAAAAATTTAAGCTTTGGTTTTAAATTATATTAGTTTTGCGGCTTTTTGGATTAGCAAAATCACCAGCGTATACATTCTTGAAAACAAAAGAAACTTATCTATAATTGACTCTTCCAGATTTGATACACCACAATTTAAATAATTCAAAATATTAAGGAAAAGCGTGTCCGCAAAAATACTTTTTTTGCTTGCTATAATCGCTTATTCGCTCGGAACCGTTTTTAATCGTAACTTTTTCTCTTATTTTATTTTTTAACTTGATGACAAATTGCAATAAAGGAAATTAACATAATAAAAGAATAACTTGTTGACGTCATTGCAAACTAATTTGAAATTTTTATTTATTAACATGCACTTTAGTTGTAATCAAGTACTTTTTGGATACTGAAAAAAATGGAAATTTAGCTTCCCAGCAAACATGCCTTTTTAGACCGCTGTGTTCCCACTGTTGGCACAATACGCTGGCAGAGACCGGCCGAATCTCTGCGATTATACGTTGGACCACTGTGTTGCCGCCGCACAGAGGGAAATCACATGGCCAAAAATCAAAAAAGTGACTAAGATCAATCATAATGTTAGATAGTGGGTTTCGTTACTAATACCCTCACTAAGAATTTTCCAAGTTATAAAATCCTAAATCTATGAAACTTATGAATTTTTATTATGAAAATTTATGAATATTTATTATGAAAATTTATGAAATCCTAAACAGGCTCAACGGTAGTGGCTTCTTGAAGTTAGGTTTTTAATGAATTTTTGATAAAAATTCCCGATGTTTGATTTTAGTAATTACTATTTTTTAATATACAGATCATTTAAAATTGAGAATATACTCATCATTGGAAAGGTTACAGTATAGACTGTTAAAAACATAAAATAAAAAATTTTCTGATAATGTTGGTACTGCAATATTTAGCATTGAAAGTAAAAATTTCATCACAAAAATACTAAATTTTAACTTTGATGAAGAATTAAAAAATTGTACCAATTTGTACCTTTTCCATATTTTGATATTTTTTAGTCTATAGTGTTTACTAACTACCCTGAGAAGTGCAGCTGCGATCATCCGCGATCTTGAGCGCCTAATAATTTTGAAAAATTGATGTTTTTTTAAACAAATAAAAAACTTCTTAGAATAAAAATAATTTTTTTCATTCATTACAAAAAGTAAAAAAAAAAAAAACTACTTTAAGACATGAAACACTAAACATTGTGGACCAGAGATGAGTTTAGGTTTAATGGAGTGTCACTCAAGTGAAACCTTTTTTATTTAAGAGTATTTGTGTTATAACAATAAAAAAGAGATTTTTTAAAATCCGAATAAATTGCTAAGGGTCATAAATGGGGCAAAAGGGTAAACATAAGGGGGTCATAAGCCCATTTATGTGTGCTAGTTGCAAATTACAAAAAAAAAATTTTAATCAAGAGTATTTGTTTCATAAAAATAGAAAATAGCGTTTTTAAAGTTAAAAAAAAATGCTAAGGGTCACAAATGGGGCAAAGGGTAAAATTGAGGGGGACATAAGCCCATTTTACCATTTTAGGTGCCCGTTAAATTTTTCTTTTAAAAATAAATGTCAAATAAGTTAAACAAAATATTAAGCAACAAAAAAAATTTTAAATTTTATAATATTACTGTAAATATTTTACATAATCCAACAAAAAGTGAATAATTGTTTTTTCGGGTCTTGAGCAGTATGTCAAAGTTAATGATAAATTAAACTCTTCCTCCATTAAAAGTAACATCAGAATTCTTCTTTAGGTTTAAAGTTTCTTCATGTGTGTTCAAATTTAAAATAAACTCTCCGCATCGTTGAGCAAACTGTCTTGAATAGACAGAAATTAGTATTCAAATACTACTTTACGTCTTAGTTTCCTCAGCATAGACCTATATTTTAGTGTATAAAATACATTAAAATAGTAAAAACCTCTTGTTTTATTCTAACTCTTTTGAATAAGAACAAGTTATTATTTGCTTTATTAAAAAATTCTTTCCTATTGAACCAAGGTTTCCATCATCCAAGTTTGCTGAACAATTTATTGTCAGTTTTCAGAACAGTATGGACTGTTTATTCTAGACTTAAACCTACACAGACTTAAGTTACACTTTTAAAAAAGCATACTCAATGCGTGAATCAACTTTGAACAAGCCTTAATGGAAGAAGAGTTTAATTTATCATTAACTTTGACATACTGCTCAAGACCCGAAAAAACAATTATTCACTTTTTGTTGGATTATGTAAAATATTTACAGTAATATTTTTTTTTTTTTTTTTTTTTTTTTTTTTTAACATCTTCACTTCCAACAAGGCTGCAAGCAACCACTATAAGAGTTGGAAGTTACTGGAAGAGAAAAGACTAAATCTGTAGAGCAAGATAACGATTGACTGATGACTTAAAAGATTGCAAATTATATGAATCAGGAAAGCAAGATGAAGGAAGCGAATTCCAAAGAACTGATGTTCGAGGAAAAAAACTAGAAGAATAAGAGTTTTTGAAGCACTTAGGAACAGTCACAGAAAAAGGATGAGACTTAATTGAATGGCGAGTAACACGAGAATGAATTTTAGTAAATGGCACAAGGGACGCTAGCTCCCTAGAGCAGTGCCCATCATAGTATTTGTAGAAAAGAGAAAGAGAAGCAACATTACGACGATGTGACAAAGGTTGGAGATTGGCTGCCAGAGCAGGTCCAACTATGTTTACAATTCGTTTTTGCACCTTGTCTAAAAGAGAAAGAGCATCATTAGAAGATCCGCCCCAGATGTGGCAACAGTATTCCATACAGGGACGGATTTGAGATTTATAGAGATAGAGAATAGAATCTGGAGTAAGAAAGTGTCGAGCTCGATAAAGAGATGCAACCTTAGCAGATGCTAATTTTGCAATGGATTTGATATACGGTTTAAAAGAAAGATCAGAAGTAAGAGTTAATCCTAGAAGATGAATGGTAGATGACTCATCTAGTACATTACCATTCATAAATATAGGAAGATCTAAATTATTACGATAACGATTGGCCGAACAAAATTGAGTTTTATCCGAATTAAAGTTCACCAGCCACTGTGAGCCCCATGCTGTAGCAGAAGTGAGATCCTTTTCAAGCTCAGATACCCCCTCCAAGCAATCAGAGAGTGTAGGCTTCTTATCATGACAAGAGTAAATGGTAGTGTCGTCAGCGAATAATGCCACCTTAGATGTGAGAATATCTGGAAGATCGTTAATGTAAATTAAAAAGAGTATAGGGCCAAGGATTGAACCTTGAGGAACCCCTGAAGTTACAGGATGTGAAGAAGAGTGTTGTCCATCGAGGACAACTTTTATACTACGATTGGAAAGAAAGGACTCAATAATCTTAAAGACGTTACCAGCTACACCATAAGAAGAAAGCTTATGGAGAAGACCAGCATGCCAAACTTTATCAAAAGCTTTAGAAATGTCAAGTGCGATAGCCTTAACCTCTCCACCTCTATCTAATTCACGGTAAAACCTATCGGTTATTACTGTTAGCACATCAGCTGTAGAACGAGAAGACCGAAATCCATATTGATGATCAGAAAGTAAGTTATTTGATTCAAGAACCTTGCTTATGACAGGAAGAAGACTAATGGGACGGTAGTTAGATGAATCAGATCGCTCTCCGGAATTTTTGAAAATAGGGATAACAGATGCTGCTTTCCAGCATGATGGAAAACAAGACTCTGATAAGCACTTGTTAAATAGTTTAGAAAGTATGGATGAAAGCTCCGGAGAACACCTCTGCAAGACTACAACAGGAATGTTGTCAGGACCACAAGCTGTTGAAGAGTCTAAGCAGGAAATTACTTTAGATACAGAAGCTGAAGTGATGCGAATGTCAAGCAAGGGATCAACCTGTTTGACGGCTATGTCAGGTAAAACACAACTAGTGGAATCAAGAGATGATATTGATGAAAAGTTCTTAGCAAACAATTCAGCTTTGTCTTTAGGTGAGGTGACAAAGTCTGAACCATACAAGAGAGAAGGAATAACAGATTTGCCCTTATTATTGATACTGTTAAAGATTCTCCAGAAGTCTCGAGAGCCTAATTTTTGTGATGAGATACGAGATTTAATGACCTGGGAATAGCGAGCTTTGGCGTCAGACAAAACCTTTTTACAATGGTTTCTGGCGATAGTGAACAGATGTCTGTTTTCTGGAGAATTGTTTTGCTGATAGATATGGAAGTAACGGTTTCGATTAGAAATTGCTGCAGCGCAATGTGAGGAAAACCAAGGAGAAGATTGAGGCTTGACCAGGAATCG